TTCTGTGTCCATGAAATCAACTTGTTTATTTCCCACATGTGAATAAAAACATGCAATACTTGGTCTTTATAATTTCTGTCTAATTACACTTAATGTAATGTTCCTTAAATTAAGCCATTTTCTGCTTAGTGTTTAGGTAATATATTAAAGTTCTTATAAAACTGAAATAATCATCCACCTAAATTTTACCTTAACTATTACCAAAATTCCCTGGGTATATAGTATTGTAGTTTGAAAACAACTAAATGAACAAAAATGATTTGAAGGTGTTTTATGACCCTAATATAGTAATCTTTTCTACCTCCTCTTTTACTTAATTCTGGTTTCTCTTCATTAATAAAAATATTCAAATAAATTATTTATGGGACCAACAAGACTCTAAAAACCAAAATAAGTCAGCGATTTACTACTTTGACTTTAAAAATATAATGAAAGAAATTAAAACAAACACTGAAAGTAATTGAAAATAAAAGATATGCATTATTTTATATTTCTTTTTTTCAAAGCATTTTACTTCTAATTTTTACTATTATTGCTTATTTCAAACAACAGCTATTATAACAGAGTTCACAGAAAAGTTATTTAAAAGATTAACAAAATAACACACACTTAGGTAATATTGTAAAGTTTGGTCAGGTAGTCAGGAGGTAAGATAAATAAGTCCTTTGCTATATAAGTCACTTCAGAGGAATAAGCTACTCAGTCTTTCTATGATTCAGTATCTCTTGTGAGAATAATGCATTTTTGCAAATTACATGAGATAATTTACATGATGGAATAAGAATTATCAACATTTAATAAATACATCTATTCACAGCAGCTTGTGAAAGAAAGGAGGGGGAGCATAAACAAAAGCTTCAAAGGTCCTAATACTGTAGTCACAGAGCAAAATACCATTATTTTACAGACACCTAACATATTTCTGTGTGGTTTCCTCTGTCTTTGGTTTGTCAAGCAGAAATAAACAAAACCCAATTTCTGCTCTGGAGAAGTTTATTGCATAGAAAATGTAATTAGGCAGATATGCATGCCACATTGCAGTGATATGACAAAATAAAACACAAGCAACCAACCACAAATGTGGGATAATCAATATAAAATTTCATGTTCTGTCTGCCTCTTTTACTTCTTGCCAATATGATTAGCCTTCTCCATATGTATTCAATTCAACAACCTAGGGGTAACATAGATTATATCAGAACTTATATTCCAATTATTCTTTGAACAGTGGCTGTTAACCAAGAGTTGGTGAACATCTTGTATGAAGACTCTACAAAAGTAAAGCTACAACCATTGTAATGCTTCAGAGGTATGGTTTATTAGGTTTAGAAAACAG